TTTTTATTTTGAGATAACTAGGTTCACATGTGTTGTCAGAAAAAGTAACTGAAAATCCCTTATACGTTTCATCTAACATCCCCAGTGCCACCTTGAATGGATTATAGAATTACAACCAGGAAGGTGACATTGGTATGGGCTGTCTACCCTCTTCTCATTTCACCAGTTTTACATAATGTGTCTGTTTTATGTACTTTATGCATTTTTTCACATGTGCAGCTTTGACAGCAGCAATTTTTTAAATGAAATTGTATAGGGCCAGGGGTGAAGCTGTGTGGCAGAGCACTGGGGGAGCATGCGTGAGACCTTGAGTTCAATCCCCAGCACCGGAACAAAATCCAGCAGCATGGGCTGAGTCAATCCTGCCTGTTCAGTATTGATTTGGAGTGTACTTTAGCTACATACACCAGCTTGGCATTGGTGAACTGCTTTCTTCTGAGCCAGTCAAGCAAGTGGACAACCAGGCTGAACATAAATGAGTATATTGAGAGATAGTGACATGTATTCTGGACCCCGTCAGTTATTTAAGGAGGTTTTACGAGTAATTTTTTCCTTATTTGTTTGTTTGTGACAGGGTCTCACCATGTAGTTCAGGCTGGCCTTGAACTTGCTTATGTAGTTCAGGCTGGCCTCAAACTGTGGGTGATCCTCCTGCCTCAGCCTGTCAAGGGTAATTTTGACTAGCAACAGTTTTTCCATCCATGCAACCTCAGAACATTACTCTTTGATAATTTAGAGCTCGCTGTGCTCTCCTTCCAGTCGTGGGAGTCAGTTCTGGAAAGTATTGTAAGTGGCAAAGCCAGGTTGTTTAGAAAATAAGAAGTTAAGAGAAAAGCCAGTAAATATTTTTAGAGTGGGAAATTCTAAGGAACAATCTGATTTCAAGATGGCTTTGTCAAGACTAAGACTGTAGATCATCACCCAAGATTAAGGATGTCACCCATGTGCCCTTTCTGCCATGGGTCAGTGTTACCTAAGTGACTACACTTGCAACCTTATTGATTAATCATAATTTTTGACCCACATTGTACCTGCCTCACGATTTTACTCTGTAAAACTTCCTTTGAGAGGTGGCTTGTTGGCAACCTATTCAGGACCCCTCCTGTCTCAGGAGATGTTCTATTCCTCATTCCTATTCCCCATTCCTTTTCCCAAAAGATACTTTGTCAGTGTTGAAAACCCATGCTGAAGCCAGGCATGATGGTGCACACCCAGCACTTGGGAGGCTGAGGCAGGAGGATCAAAGGGAGTTCAAGACCAGCCTGAACTACATAGTGAGACCCTGTTCCCTTCCACTTCAAAAATACAGTGATATAAACCCTTATTGAGGTGCATCCTTTCCTGGTTGTTTTTTGAGACAGGGTCTTGCTATGTAGTTTAAGCTAGTCTTGAATTTGTACATAGCCCAGGCTGGACTCACAATGATCCTCTTGCCTCAGCTTCCCAAGGGCTGGGATTACAGGTGTGCATCGCCATGCCCACTTCCTTTCTCTTAAGCTGTTTCCAGGACACTTGTGTCCTGCACCTCATCTGGAGACCCTTACTTTCTGTCAGCACAAGTGAAGTCCCCTAGGACTGTGGGAGGAGGGACATCTCACGATGAAGCCTGGCACACCAGGGGCCCAGGCTGAAAGTGGGCTAGCTGCTAACTGGATCACTCACCTGGAGGGCCACACCTGGGAGCTCAGATGGCTTTACATTGGAGCCATGCAAGCATGTAGCAAGGTTTTGGAGAAGCTTCAATTTGGGTCCAAGTTCTGCAACCTAAGAGATCTGTGGCAGAAAATTTCCTAAACTGAGCCCCAAATAGCCTCACGTTTAATTGGACCAATGCCACATACCCCACACGCTTTTTACAGGGGAAAAACACAACTAAATCCTTGTCACATCTTAGGCCTCTTATGCAAGTGTTTTACCACTGAGCTGTACCCTGCAGTCCTATCATTGTAACTTCTGGTGCCATTGAATAAACCTTAGTTCTCTTTAGACGCTGAAGGGGCTCAGAAGTGGCTAGACTAATGGAGGAGTGAAGTCCATCATAAGGCAGGCCTCATTCTGTCTTGGGTTTTCCAGGCCTTCCCCAGGACAGTTGGACTTTCGCTGCTTCACTGGCCCTTATTACAGAGGACAGGCAAGGAGCTAGCACAGAGGTTGGGAATCTCCATATCTGGGTGAAGTAGGACCTGGCCAAGCTACGAACAAAGATCTTGGCTGGAAAGGAAATGAGATTACAACAGGAAGTGAAAGGGAGTGAATCCCAGGAAAGGAAACAGCCCAGCTGCTTGGAGAAGCTGATAACATGGCAGTTGGCATTCTATCGCCTTCGATCAAGCACGCATCTTTATTGTACCCTTGACCCAGCACCTGCCTCCATGTACTCTAGCTGGGTCACCTCGTGGCGAATTTTAGTTCAGGCAGTGCTGCCCCTATCTGGGGATTACCAAAAACTTTCTGTGGCTCTTAGAACCAGAATCTGACCCAGACAGCTAGCCTAGATGTGGGCCATGTTACCCCCTTTTCTGGGCCATGCTGGAAATCAAACCTAAGGCCTCATGGGCTAGGAGTGCACTACCACCGAACTACCACCCTCAGTCCAGTCTGGCCATTTGGACCTAACAAAGACAGTCTCTTCTGCTTGAGGGCTTTCTGAAGCCAGGATCCTGACCAGTCTCTGGGTCGTAGATCTAAGGGACTCATCTGCTTTTGCCTGGTGAAAAGAAGAGCCAGTAGCCAGGGAAGCCATCCAGGGTCCAGGAAGCCCCGCCCCACTGCCTCCTACATTGGTGGAGAGTGAGTGATGCTCACCCACCTAGTACCAGACTTTGGGGGCCAGCAGAGAAGCTCAGACACCCACAGAAATGGCAGTTGGCAAAGGGCCAGAGTCTGAATATATTGGTCACCGCAACACATGCTCTACATCAAAAGAGAGCACAGGGCCAAGACACAGGCAGCCAGATAGTGTCTGGGAATTTGCACCGGAGCACTCCGGGCGAAGGGCAAATGCAGACAGGAAGCAGGGCTGAGCAGGGATAGAACCCAGGCTCCCTGCCTCCCACCCACCCAGTCCTCCGCCTTGGCGTGTCATGCCGATGCCACACACATTGCTGTTTAGACAGCAGCGAGGAAACACAGACATCCTGCATCCCTTGGGGAGGAGACCAGGGCTGGGAACAGAAGGCAGTCTGTTTATTCCTGGCAGCCGTATCCGAGGGGTCCTGCACCCACTTCTGTCAAGACCCCAAGTTGAACTTTCCCAGAGCCTCTGACTTCTTTGTTTGTTTTTGTTTTGGCAGTACTTAAGACTGAACACAGAGCTCTGTCGCTGAGGTACATGTATCCCCACCCTTTTTTGGTTATTTTGAGCCAAGGTGTCGCCAAGTTGCCCAGGCTGGCCTTGAACTTGTAATCCTGCCTTAGCCTCCTGAGTAGCTAGGATTACATGGGTAATCTGAGACACCACACCTGTCTCAGAGCCCCTGACTCCTCCCCAGACAGGCTAGATGGCCCGGGTCTAAGGGCCTAGTGCCATTGAGTTTGAGGCTGGCCACTCTCCTCTTTCCCCTTTCTGTCCCAACCAAAGACCCTCCTCTTCAGGACCCCAGACAGCTGTTCAGGGCTGGCAGAGCCACTCAAGCTACCTGCCCTTGGGGCCTGGGTCTCCCCTAACACAGATGTCCCTTTGCTCTTCAGTGGCAAGATCGTTCCTCATGTCTCACCACCAGCTTTCTTACTGTGGTTTTAGCCTGTTCCTTTCTATTTCAGCCTTGAGTGTGTCTGGCTTCCTGTTCCCCTCACCCCAAAGTTATTCTTGACACAAGGTGGAAACCCCAACCACCACACCTCTTGGTTTCTGTGCCTTGAACTTGCTGATCTCTCTCCCTGTCCTTAGTTTCCTGGGTTTCCCAGTGGCAAAGTATTATCACCTTGCTTTTCATAGGCTCCCTATGTACCTTTCTCCCCGGAGTTCTTGCAGAGGGGACAGGTATAGAGGACAGAAATCTTCACGGTGTTAGTGACAGTAACAACAGCTGACGCTCAGTGCCTGTGTGCCAAGTGCCAATCCATTCCACGAATGTCAGTCACACAAGAGCTGAGTACAATAGAGCCCCGCTTGGAGGTGAGGAAACTAAGGCAAGCGAAGTTTAGAAGTTTCCATTCACACAGCTGTGAAAAATAAAGATTGCACTAAGGATTGCAGCTCTCATTCCCACACCGGCTCGTGCTTCTTAATCATCACGGAGGAGGGAAGAAAGGAGTCATTTGTTGAGATGACCCCTGCATCGAGTGTCAAGCACTGGGGTGTACGTGGTCACCTGTATTACTCCATGACAGTCCCCACAACACTCCCAAGGGGGAAAACAGACCCAGCAGCCGCTTGCCTACAGTGACATCGTCAGAGCCATTTGTATTTGTACCGCATACATAGCCCAGAGCTTGACTCAGAAAATAATTGAGAAAAATGCCAGACAACCCCAGATTCTGAAAGGCAAGACTGGCTTTAAAAGCTGAAATGCCCATCAGGAGGTGGAGGGGGAGAGTGGAGATTCTTGAGCCCCAGACACCCAATCACTGCCAACATCTCAAACACGCACACACCATCGTTTGGTTCACTGGCAGGAACACCAAGCTGGTCGTGCGGTCCTGGCCACGCTGAGTTTAAAAGGTTCATAAAATGGAGATGTATTAGCTGAGGCAGGAGGTGGGGAGGCGCAGTCGATCATTATTATTCATTAACTGGAATGCATTTCCCAGATTAGCTGGGCAGTGACAGCAGACGAGAGTGCTCCTAGCTGGGGAGGCTGCCACCTAGGGAAGGAAAGCACTACCTAGGTGGCATGGTGTTGCTGATGGCTGAAGAGGGGTCACTAGTACAGGACAGGGAGGCGGCAGTGGGGGCCAGGAGGAGTGGCCTCTCAGTGGCTGCAGCTCACAGATGTGACAAGCCCCACCCTCTGGAGGCGGGGCCAAGGCTGATCCCAGCTGCTCTGTCCCTCCCGGAACCCAGGCTGGGACAGAGCTGGGCAGGCAAGCCGGGGCCCTGCTGTCCTGTTGAGGCACTCACTGGCTGGGACACCAGACATGATCTGAAGCCCTACAAGGCTGGAGGCTGCAATCCCGACACTCAGGGTGGCGAGGGACACCTGTCTACCACAGCCATGTAAGTAGCTACCCCTGGCCCTGCACCTCCCCAGCCAGATCCTAAAGAGACCACTGCACTGGTCCAAGCCACCAGACCCTCCAGGGTGTACTCGTGAAACAGCCCGCACCTCACTGGGACATCGCATGTGGGAGCTGATCCTTTCCTTGATGCTGGGGGAGCCCAGGGCTCTCTCGAGGGAAGGCCTGGGAGTCCATCTCAGGCCAAGTTTGGGGTAACACAAAGTCTCATGAGGTTTAATAAAGTTCATGGTGCAGGGAGGAAGGGGAACAGAAACTGGGGGGCCACTAGAGAAGGAAAGATGTCCTGGGTCGTGGGCAGGGAGGAGACTGAGGAAGAGGGAACTGGCTGAGGGGAGGGGAAAGGGGCACAATGGGGCCCCAGGCTCTAGGGGGAGCTGGGAGGGAAGGGAGCATCTCCCTCTGCTCAAGGTGGCCCTGTGGCGGATCCTCTGATCCCAACCCCGGGGAAATGGAGGGTAGGGAAGAGGAGGGAGGAATCCCTTCCTTATTGACTCTGATCCTAGCAACTGCAGCTGCTCCCCTGTTGACAGAGGCAGGAGCTCCCACAGGACCAGGACCCCTCCCCTTGCCCCGGCATGTGGCCATGCGACTGAGAGCAGGGAGCCAAGTGGAGAAAGGGCTGGGACAGATCAGAAACAGAGTAGATGCATCAGAGCCGCAGGGAGGCCGGACCCTGCCCACCAGCTCGTCCCTGTCCTCTGGTCCTGCCTCCGGCTCCTGGAGGCTTGGGGGTCCTCTTCTGGCTGCTGGAATCCCCACATCCCTGCTGAGCAACCCACCACCACCCCTTCCCTCCAGCTCCCAGGAAGGGCCTGTTGCTAGTGTGGAACGGACGAGTCAAGTTTATGGGCTGGAAGTCCTACCCAGAGGCTGCTCACTGAGCTGTGACAGGCTGTGGAGGGCACCGAGAGGGGCAGGGTGCACACCCCACTTGTGCCCCAGATTTGGCCCACAGGAGCCTCTTGTGTGATGCTGGCTGGGAGACCACGCAACACCAGCCAAACACCACCCTCTCCTTGGCTCATTTAGAGTCTGGTGGATGGGACAGGGAGGACGGAATGCCTCGGGTGGGTCCGCCTTTCAGTCTAAACAGAGGCATAAGCACAGCTGCCCAGAGGCCAGCAGATGACACAACGGAGCTGCTGCCTGCTGCAGACTGTGGTGAACTGTCTGAAGGGAGCCACCGCTCAGCTCCCATACAGGGCATCTGTGTTCCCAGACCTGCTTTTCCAAAAGAAACCAAAAATAGGAATTTTAATTGGTAACTAATGGAATAAGTATGTGTTGGCACACAGGCTGTGGCCCAATCTGCAGGTCTGCCACCTCTGATTCATGCGCAGCCCCATCCTAAGTGGCCATCTTCCTCCATCCAGGCATGCCAGCTGCCACTCCCATGCTCTCCCATCCCAAGGCCCACGATGACACCCAACAGCACCGGGGAAGCGCCTGGCCCCATGCCCACAGGGGCCCTGGGGCTCTCCCTGGCCCTGGCCAGCCTCATTGTCGCCGCCAACCTGGTCCTGGGCCTGGGCATCGCCTGGGACCGCCACCTGCGCAGCCCACCTGCTGGCTGCTTCTTCCTGAGCCTGCTGCTGGCTGGACTGCTCACAGGGCTGGCACTGCCCATGCTGCCAGGGCTGTGGAGCCAGAAACGCAGGGGCTACTGGTCCTGCCTCCTCCTCTACTTGACCCCCAACTTCACCTTCCTCTCTCTGCTCGCCAACCTGCTGCTGGTGCACGGGGAGCGCTACGTGGCAGTGCTGTGGCCGCTGCGGCCCCGCGGGAGCATGTGGCTGGCCCTGCTCCTCACCTGGGCGGCCCCCCTGCTCTTTGCCAGCCTGCCTGCACTAGGTTGGAACTGCTGGAGCCCTGGTGCCAACTGCAGCTCCCAGACTGTCTTCCCGGCCCCCTATCTCTACCTCGAAGTCTACGGGCTCCTGCTGCCTGCCGTGGGAGCTGCTGCCCTACTCTCCATCCGAGTGCTAGCCACTGCCCACCGCCAGCTGCAAGACATCCGCCGGCTCGAGCGGGCAGTGTGCCGCGACACGCCCTCCGCTCTGGCCCGGACCCTCACTTGGAGGCAGGCCAGGGCCCAGGCCGGGGCCACACTGCTCTTCGGGCTGTGCTGGGGGCCCTACGTGGCCACCTTACTCCTGTCAGTCCAGGCCTATGAGAGGCGCCCACCCCTGGGGTCTGGAACTCTGTTGTCCTTCATCTCACTGGGCAGTGCCAGCGCAGCAGCCGTGCCCATGGCCATGGGTCTAGGTGACCAGCGTTATACAGCCCCCTGGAGAGCGGCCGCCCAAAGGTGGCTTCGGGTGCTTCGGGGAAGAGCCTCAAGGGACAGTCCGGGCCCCAGCACTGCCTACCACACGAGCAGCCAAAGCAGCGTGGACCTGGACTTAAACTAGCAGTGGGGCCGCTGCTGAGTCCTAGAAGCATCCACCCATCTCGGCCATGCCTTTCCCAGGTCCCCACCTCTCGGGGCAGAGACTCTGCCCCTATTAAACCCCACCCAGGTGGAATAAAACTTCTCTGGGTTTTTAAGGGTTATCTCTATTGATATCTCCAAAAGGAAAGCAGGTGGAAGAGCCCCAGAGAGAACCTAAAGACAGCTGCTCTCTCCTGTGGAGAGAAGGAGATTCCACCTCCAAACAAGCAAGCAACGGAGGAGGGTGGGCTCACAAACCTTGACCTCCAGCCTCACCCCCACGTGGCCTTTGCTAGTTCCTCCTCTGTCCAGTCACCACAAAATCCACACAGACACTGCCTCTGGGAAGTATATTTTATTTACATTTTTAAAATCTGTAACTAGTATCTCTTCCTCCTTTCCATCCCCAGAGACTTGGGAAGGGAAAGAACGGGAACCTCAAAGACCTACTCCCCACATACAAATATTTACCCCATGGCTCACACCAGCAAGTGAAAGAGAAGAATCACCCTCCCTCGAAGTGCCTCAGGGCTGGGCGAGGGGAAGGGAGCGCCCGTGGGTGGGTCTAACAAGGAGAAAAGGACAGAGGGGCAAGTCAGCTGAGGGGTGGGAAAGTAGTCCAAGTCCCCTCCCCTCCTTTCCTCTGTACCCTGCACCTCTGCTGGTGGTGGGGGACGGGATTCTCCCTTTATCCCCTCAACACCAGACACCAGGCCAGAGGCTGCAGTCCTTAACGGTCGGGTCTCTGGACGCAAAATACTTTCGCTTTGTGGTCACCTGAGGTGGTCACCACCAGAGAGGCATCTCTGTGGACAGAACGCAGGGGATGAAGTGGGTAAGGAGCCTGGGGCCCAGACCCAAGCCCACCACCGCAAGTCCCCACTGCCAAGCACCGTGGCCGCTTCTGGGCAACCAGCAAGGGTACCACAGGAGGAGGAAACTCTGTTGGGTAACGGAGTGGCAGCAACGGAGCTGAGGGGATGAGAGAAGCAGTCTCCACCTCCCACCCCATGGCTGAGATGTGAGACCCAGGAGGCCAGTGTCAACCGCGGGGATGGGGCTGGCTCAGAAGTGATGACCCCCTGGGCTGTGAACCCTCCGGCTTTCCAGCACACCTGCCTCACAGACTAAAACCAGGTCTTGGGTCCACCTGCCTGAGAACCTCCCACCCCCAGCCCCCCAGAGGCCCCCTGCTACTCCACTTTCCAAATTCACAGATCCCAGCTCTACCCACTTCACTTACTTGCTGAGGGCAAAGTCCAGGATCTCAGCGGTGTGGCCCCGGTAGTCAGTGAGCAGGCGGCCAGTCCGGGCGTCCCAGAGGCGCACGACGCCATCCAGGCTGCAGGTGTAAACCACGGCGGTGCCGGCCTCCCACAGCAGCTGCACGATGCCCGACTGCCCGGGGTATAACAGAGGCAGGGCAGAGGTCAGGGGTGGGTGAGGACAGACATCTGCTCCCAACACTCAGGGAGGGACAGAGAGAGGGTCACAGGAAGGACCAAGCAGGAGCAGGTCTGAGGCAGATGGTTCCCAAGGCCAAGGCTTCCTTACGGCCATGAGCACGGCCCCTACCTGGTGCTGACACTGGTGCCTGAGGGTCTGCGTAGACAGGTCATAGATGGCCAAGGTTCCATCTAGGTAGCCAACAGCCGCCAGAGGCATCCTGAACAGCGGGGAGCACCAAGACAGCTCCTGAGACCCTGGACGTGCGTGCCCGCCCTCCCTTCTGGTCCCCCAGCCCAGGGCCTCCCGCAAGCCTCCCTCTCCCCAGTCCCTCTGGTCCCCAGGCCCAGGCCCGCTCACACTCACACACTGCAAAAGCCCAAGGACTCCACTGAGTTGGACTCACTCTCCTCCCCTTCTCCCAGGTTGGGCTGGGAGGCCACGGTCTCTGGTCTAAAAACACCTACCACCTGTCAGCAAGAGGAGATGGTGAGACGAGGCCGGACTCTCAAGAGTCCAGCAGAAAGGAAATGCAACAGGAGTGGAAAAAAAAAGGCAAGAAGATTTGGAAAAGCAGAGGCCCCCATGGACTCTGGGTCCACTCACCTTGCCGGTGGTAGCACTGACCAGCTTGGCCTGGCAGTCCACAGAGCCAGTAAGGATGAGGCTGCCATCCTGATTGGTAGCGACACAAGTCAGAGGGCCTTGGTGACCCTCGGTCCCTGGGATGGAGCAGTGGAATATATCAGGACTGAGTCCTACCCCAGGCTCACTGACCTCTTCCACAAATTCCCGCCTCTGATACCTTTCAGTACGTGGATGGGGTTTCCCTGCTTCAGGTCCCAAATCCTGATGGTGCCATCTTCATAGCCTACCACAGCTCTCTTCCCTAAAGGGCCAGAAATAGCAGTGAAGAGAACACACAGGGCACATCAGACACCCAGCAAGGGTACTGGGGGAGGGGAGAGGACAGTAAGGGAACAGACACTGCCCCAGGAACCGCAGGGAAAACCCAGTTCACAGCTGCTGGCCTTGCGTCCCAAAGCAGGCCAAGTCTGCCCAGGAGGTGCTCAGGGAGGTACATAACCCTGGTCCACCTCTGCACCCAGTAAGGGACACTCAACAGCTGCTCTCACCGTCAGGGAGGACACGGCCACAGGTAGCAGGGCAATTGGGGCCCTGGAAGGTCTTGCAGTCACCATTTGGGACCTTCCACATCCAGGTGTTGCCATCGGCTGTGCCCGCCAGTAGGACAGGTGCCCGAGGGTGCCACTCCATCCACTGGGCAGAAAGGAAGGGTCAACACAGAGGCCTGTCATCACCTGGCAGCCTCTCCGTAACCCCTCCAAAGGTTTCCCTGTCCCTGGGGTCAGGGGGAACTTTACAGCTGGAACTTTCCAGGTACACACACTGCTGCTGTACCTTGGGGTACACTGGTGCAGTGGAGGTGGGACTGGCCCCCTGAAGCTCTCACCACTACCCAAGGTCCCACAGAGTTGAATCCCACTCTAAGGATCTCACCTCCAGGTCTCCTGCTTCGAAGGACCAGACTTCCTCCTTGGTGTCTACCTGCCACACTTTCAAGAGACCACTCATGTCCCCTGTGGCCACCAGGGTGGAATCATGACTAAAACCAGCACAAGTCACAGAGTCTTTATGGCCTGCAAAGAAAAGTGGGCAGAGAAGAAAACAATAAGCTACCTAGTGCCGGGGACACATGCACCAGGTACCTGGACCCTTAGAAGGTCCCAATGGTGACAGCAAGACCTTTCACACAGGAAAAAAAGACATGTGGGTCCCAGCAGAATAGGTGACCAAATTCTCTGCAGCTCCCCAAGAGAGAACCTGCTAGCCCCGACTCAAGCAAGCCAGCCTCCTACGCCTCACTCATCCTGTCCCCTCCGCACCTCCGCCTGAAACCCCATGTCCTTCCCTCTGCCCACTTACCCCGACACCAGTGTCAGCACCTCTCAGCCCTTTCCTTGACTCCCTGGGGAATGTGCCTACCCCTGTGCTTAAAGAGACTATGTGATTATTCTTTGTGTTCCAGGGGCCCATGCCAGAGCTGGCACTAAACAGAGGTCAGTAAAAGGCTGTCAGAAGAATGCTTGACCACTGCATGCCACCTACTACAATCTCCAAAACTACACGAAACCCCCCAGCCAGGTCCCACTCACCTGCACACGCAAACAGCAGCTCCCCATCACTGAGTCTCCACACAAAGGCTTTGTCATCTTCACCGCCCGTCACTGCCAAGGTGTTGGTCTTGGGGTCCAGGCTCACACAAAACACGGATGCTGTCCCAAGAGATAAAGTATTCCAAGGGTGAGGGGACGGCGCTCCCACCAGAGTTCTGTCCTTTCAGGACCTTCAGGAAGCCCACCCCTTTCACCCCCAACAATGTCTTCCCTCTAGAAGCAGAAGGATACACGGAAGTTCTAAGTTTCAAGCATGAGATTATTAGAGAAATCCTTCCCTAAACCTGCTGAGTTCCCAGTCCTTCTCCAGGGCAGATCCCTTACAATTCTCTTCCCCTACCTCCCCCACGGACAAGATGTGGGCACTTGTGCAGGGCTTACCCTTGTCACTGGGGGGTGCCACCAGGCTGGACCCACACAGCAAGGAGAGCATGTGTTACTGGCTTCTTACTCAGAGTTTCTGGTCAGACTACGTAGAATATACTCAAAATGTATACTTAATTACTTTTTCCGATTTTGTTTTCTCAGACAGAAGCCAGGGTCTTTGCACTGAGCTGCATTCCCCGTCTATTTTTTTTTTTCTTTTTTTTTTTTTTTTTTTGGTTTTTCTCCGGTACCGGGAACCGAACTCATGACCTTGCACTTGCCAGGCAGGCGCTTTTGCCGCTGAGCTAAATCCCCAGCCCCTCCCCGTCTATTTTTAAATTTTATCTGGAGACAGCATCTCACTAAGTTGCCTAGGCTAGACTCAAACTTTCAGTCCTCCTGCCTCAGCCTGGCCCTTACAGGCATGTGTCACCATGCCTGGGCAAAAAAGTACTTTTTTTTAAAAACTATAAATTACCTCTAATTTCCCTTCAGTTGACCTTAACTTTCATCAAAGGCAAGTGTTTTTAAAAAAGACAAAAACCCAAAATGGTTTATAAAGGTGGTAAAGCGGGAAGCAGGAGACGCAGGATTTGAACTCGTGTCTCAACTGACTCCAATACCATTCGACCACACTGTGAGCTCTTGCAGGACAAGGCCAGCAGCTTTCCTATCTCTCATGAGGTCTGCAGATGGCAAACCCGCTGCGCTCAAATGCCCACCTGGCCTGAGTCAAAGCATTCACCTCAGAGGCCTACCTGAGTGCAATGCAAAGGTGACCTCGCTGTCATCGGGGCCCTCCATACTGCCGACCACCCCTTCCTGGGGTTCCAGAACCCAACCCTCTTCATTGCCCTCTTCTTCTTCTTCCTCTTCCTCGAAGTCCACATCTTCCATCTCCTGGGCCAGATCATCTGCTTTGGGGAAGGTGTTAAAATGTGGGGTTTGGGAGACGTAAGAGGGATGGGGAGAAGCCTAAGTGGACCACAGCTGGGTAGGTCATGTGGCCAGAGGCTGAGGCGGGGTCGGACGAACGCGGTGTAACGGGAACACGAAGGGCGGAGGGGGCTGCGTTGGGGGGAAGACGGGAGGCGAAGTCTGAAGACCTGGGCTTGGCCCGCGACCGTGTGTGAAGGGAGGGCCGAGGGCATGATGGGAAGGGGGTGTGTGAGGGGAAGGGCCAGGGGAGGCGTCAGGGAACCCCCACCCCGCCGGGCCTGTGAACTAATGTGGGGGTGGGTTGGGGGCAGGGAGGGGGGTGTCGGCAAGCGTGACCGGTGGGGTGTAGTTGGGGTGGGGGGGATGCAGGGGTCAGAGGCCAGGGGTGAGCGCCTCCTGTCCCCCGGCCTGGGCAGCGGCTGTTCTCACCAGGGTCTGGCGGGCCGGGATCCAGTTCTACCACCTCGATAATCTCTTCATCACCATGGAAGCTTAGAGTCTCCAGCGGGGGGGTGTCAGCGGCGGCTCCGCTGTCGGATTCGGACTCCATGCGGCGCAAGCGACCGATCCACTTCTCCGGGCCCAAACGCCTCCCAGAGTCAGCGCTGCGCGACGACGCGGAACTGGAGCCCCTCCTCCCGGGAGGAAGTAGGCGTAGGCGATCCCCCGACAGGAAGAGCGATGGCCGCTCGACCAATGGAGACGGAGGTTGTCTGGCTAGAGCACCAATCACAGGGTAGAGTTGGGAGACGGGGCCGAGGCGTGGCAGAGAGAGCCCAAACTCCGCCCAGGGTGACTCCGCCCCTAACAAGAGGGAAACAAGCGAGCGTGCGCGCCTCCAGGGTCTCCTGGGAAGGGTAGTTCTCCCGGGCCCGATCTCTTAGGCTTCTGGGAGATGTAGTTTCTAATCTGTAGGCGGGACGGAAGGAGCGGGGGAGGCCCCTTACGCAAACTACAATTCCCGGCGGGGAGCGCGCTGAAGAGGGGCGGGATCTGAACATGGCGGCGGTGGTAGCTGCTACGGCGCTGAAGGGCCGGGGGGCGAGAAATGCCCGTGTCCTCCGGGGTAAGGAGAGGGACCCCTGGGAGGGCAAAATTGCAGGAGATCCCGTGTCTATCACATCTGCACGGCTATAGCGGGAAGTCAGGGCTGCCAGTTCCTCCCCACATCTCTCTTCAGCATCTTTAAGAGTCTGGGGGGTGAAAGATGCTCTGTAGAGGTCACCCAGTCCATTCCTCTGCCTTCGGATTACACGACACTTCTGGTCCTGTACCAAATAAGAACCCTGAGACAGTCTTTAGGCTCCCGCGCTCCCGGTGTTTCACACTCACCGCAGTGCAGAGGGAAAAGCCCTTGGCTTCTGAAGGCTTGGATTCTAGCCCTGGGCAATTAGCAATTTGACCTTGGGCGAAGCAGTTCGTCACTCAGTACTTCAGTTTCCTCTTCTATAACAAGAGGGGATGGAGTAGTCTACCTTTAAGCTCCCTTTCCGTGCCAAAATTCTGCAGTTTTAAAACCTTCCCTGGATTTCCTTCGTACGTCCTGCGTGAATCCCTCTGCAGTCCTTCCCATCCTGTGGTCTGAAACGAAGAACGGCGAAGCTCGCTCTCCTGGAACCAGGGTGATGAGCCCGCAGTGACGTGGAAGTGGCATCCAAAGGTGCCACCTCGATGGCGATTTTCCCATTTCCTTATGGATTCTCCCTAGCACTTGTTACTCCAAACTGCAGTAACTCCCCTTCCTTAGATTTCAGCTGCTCCTGCCCAGCCCTTACCCACGTCCTGCTGACTTTCTCGTTCCCCGTACTGACCTTCCTTACCTCCATCCACAGGGATCCTCTCAGGAGCCACAGCTAACAAGGCTTCTCAGAACAGGACCAGAGCACTGCAGAGCCACAGCTCTCCAGAGAGCAAGGAGGAGCCTGAGCCCCTCTCCCCTGAGCTGGAGTACATCCCTAGAAAGAGGGGGCGGAACCCCATGAAAGCTGTGGGACTAGCCTGGTGAGTTTTAACTATCCTTTTTCCCACCAATAGGGGTACACCCAGGGGTGGGCAGGACTCTTAAACTTCTGTAAGTTTCATGTGATGAGCTGAATCCAAGGTTGTGGAAACAGTATTGCTGGGTTCAAGGAATGAAATCTCAGGAGTGGGAAAAGGGAGATCAGAAAATACGTGGAATTGGGGAGACTGAGTTTTCTTTTGGGTGAACTGATCTGATTTGACTCGAATTTGAGTCAGATCATCTTCCCTTTTGGGAGCATGGGGTGACGCCCAAGTGCTAGTAATTAGTTAATTGAGATCTTGTGAGGTTATATCAGTTGTGTGGTAGCTAGAAGTTGTTCTGTATATTGATGTTTGGCTCTGATTCTGGCCTTAATAAATATTTTTGATCAATATTAAAGGAAAAGGAGGCATACTTTACCATGTACAATAATGTTTTAGACTTTCTGAGACAAATACTACACCTTCATTTCACAGAGGAGGGAAGTGAGACTCAGGTAGAATTCACAGTGGGTCTTCTGATTCTGTGCTGTTTCTGCCACGCCAAGGCCACCCCCACTAACAGTTACTCAGATGAAGAGGAAAAAGCCAGGTACAGTTGTGCATGCCCATAATCCCAGCACTCTGGAGACTGAGGCAAGAGGATCATGAATTCAAGGCCAGCCTGGGCTACGTAGCATGGCCTTATCTCAAAAAAAAAAAAAAAAGAGAGAACGAGAGAGGTTGAGGATGTAGCTCAGTAGTGGAAGACATGATTAGCATGCAGAAAACCCTGGACATAATCCCTAGTAAGAGGAACAATGAGGGAGGTGCAGAAGAGTCTGGAGGGGATAGGGAGCAAGTTAGGTAGATGGACTTTTGCTCAGACTCAGAGAACGAAAGAGGCTGGTCTGCCTAGAGAATCATGCACAGGCTATACTGGGCCTTTTGGGCCATGCCTAAGAGTTTAAGCTGTTACAGGTCCTTAAGCAGGACAATAGCAGGATCTGGTTTGCCTGGGTCCCTCCCAGCATGGAGAACTAGTAGATAAGAGGTGTCCCAACATCTGGACAATTGACAGAGATAGAATGACTCCCCCCAGCTCCTCTGGCTCTAGCCCGGCCCTTGCCCAAACCCCATGCGCATCTCCCACCCCTAGGGCCTTCGGCTTCCCCTGTGGTATCCTCCTGTTCATCCTCACCAAGCGGGAAGTGGACAAGGACCGTTTGAAGCAGATGAAGGCTCGGCAGAACATGCGGGCGTCCAACACTGGCGAGTATGAGAGCCAGAGATTCAGGGCCTCCTCCCAACATGCCCCATCCACGGAAGCTGGGTCCGGGATGCAGGCCTGAGGAGCACTGCCACCTCCCCTAGACTGCATTTTGACTGCGAAGTCCTCGGTTTGGCCAATTCTGGCCCTTGCTTCTGAGACCACCAGAGGGCGCCTGAAGCCCAGACTGCTGCCAGCTCCTGCCCCTCCCACACGGAGGAGCCAGCCATAAGCAAATAAAGTTATTGAGCGTTTAAGTGGGAAGAAAACAGATCTGGGTTTCTGAGTCCCTGGGGAGGGGAGGAGCAGTGGGTGGTGCCGGTTACTCATTCGTGCTCCCTCTTACAAAAGAGCAGTGTTTCTGGCTGGGTGGTGGGGCAACTGCAGACCTAAGTTCAACAAGCTCAGGCTGGACCTGGGGACCAAACCCACAGAGCTGCTGGCCAGGAGGGTGGGGTTCCAGTCAGCCTTGAAACAAGTCATAGAATCAAAGGCAGCATTCAGGATATGGAGGCAAAAACACTTAGGGCTGAGTCCAAATGACTCAACCTCTCTGGGCCTGTTTCCTCAGTCATAAATGATTGGACTAGTGATTTCTGAGATTCTGAACTTCTGCTTTTGGTTTTTTTTTTTTTTTTTGGTTTTTCGGTTTTTCTCCGGTACCGGGAACCGAACTCATGACTTTGCGCTTGCCAGGCAGGCGCTTTGCTGCTGAGCTAAATCCCCGGCCCCCTGAACTTCTGGCCTATCCTCTCCTCCACTGGCAAAATTACAGGTATACATACAGCTTCCCTCCTAGGGACTGAACCCAGGGCCATCACACTGAGCTACATTCCCAGCCTTTTTTAAAAATTTTGAGTCAGGTCTCTAAGTCACCAGGTTGCCCATCTGGCCTGATTTGTAATCCTCTTGCCTGAGCTCCTGAGTCACTGGGACTGCAGGGGTGTGCCCGCACCCCCAGCTATACATGCAGCTTCATAAGTGATCAGCTCTCCTGAGCTTTTGTAGAGGGTCCACAATACAAAAGCAGTCAAGCACTGTGGCTCCTGTGAGGTCACCTCCGAATCCAGGATTGCGGGTTCCACCTCCCCTTTTCCCCAGGCAAGTATCAGCCTTCAGCAATTTGTTGCATCCATCACCAAGAAGTGTTACAATCAAGTACATGAGGTTACCTGAGAATAGGTGAGAGAAGAGCTGAGGATGTAGCATTCCCACGGCCCTGGGGGTTCCATCCCAAATAGGGTGAAAAGGAAAGAAAGAAAGAGAAAGGGAAGGAAGAGAAGGAGAGAGAGAGAGAGAGAGAGAGAGAGAGAGAGAGAGAAAGTTGAAAAGAAAACCTAAATGCACAGGAAGTGGATGCTTTGGGCACAGCCAGCCAGCTACTGCCAGAGCCAACACCTTCCAGGGAAAAAAAACAGAGCCGCACAGGCTTTGAACTTCTAAACATAAAACTTTATTACATTACTAGTTGTGTCCCTTTGTGTGATATATTTAGGGTCAAGTACTCAATAGAGAAGTCATAGTTACGCCTTGGGCTGATGTAGTTTCCACCCACGTTCAATACACTGACCCTGTCCCCTCCCCGACTCCAGTGTGAGGCACTTGTATTACAAAGAAGGCTGGAGAGATGGGGCTGGAGTTGAAAAATCTCCCAGCTTTGGGTTCAGACCAGACTCAGTCAGTCACCTTCTGCATAGGGCCCTTCCTGGGCTGCCAGAAGGACAGAGAAGTTTTATTGGACTTCAGTACTTCTCAGATCACTTGGGGGACCTTAAGGCTTTTTCTGTGCCCCAGCCCCCATCTCAACCTTGCTCCTTCCCACGACACTCACAAGCCTACAAAACACCCCATTTCCCAACCATTGCCCCTGACTTTCTGCTCTGAGCACCTAAGCAGAGAAAGCAAGAGCTGCTGACCAGCAATCAGAAGCCCCTTGGGAGACCACAGGGAGCTTTGGAGAACAGGCCAGGAAGCTCCAGTAGCCTACTCTGTACCACCCAAGCCTGCAGGAAACCCAGGGCAGATGCTCTGCTGGCCCCTGTACCTTATGTGCTCATTCTTCCCGCCAACCCATAGCCAGATAAACAACATATATATGTTACTGAAACAGATGGGGTTGGAGTGGGGAGACCTCTTCTACCTTCCTGGGTAGAGGGTGCCAAGCCCAAGGAATATAGGATAATGGCCTCTGAGTCCAGGAACTGGGGACAAGCCGTCTGGCTCTGTTGGTTGGGTTCAGGAGGGAAACAGCTCCAGCTCCCTAGCCTAGAAGCCTGTGGCAAGCTCGGAAGGGAAGTGTGTCACGTCAGAGCCCTTCTGCCATTTCAGCTAAAGACCAGGCTCCTTTCACACACTACACCACAAGACTTTGGTGCCATGCCATGGGTAGAGGGGAGAAGATACATCTTCAGGCTAATCCCTGTCAGGCCCACCAATGGCAAGAGTTCTCTGCTCCTCCAGTCCAGCAGGTTCCCATACCACCACGAGAGGCCACCCATCCTCATGGCTAAAGGAAACTGGGCATATTACTTAAGGGGAAGAAAACAGGTGTCAGGCCCAGCCCTCTAGAGAAGGGACAGCCAAGGTGGGTGGAACAGGGGTGCTCCTCAGTTGCGATCCCCCACCAGCTGCAGCACAAAGGTGAAGATGTAGACAATGTCTGTGTAGATCTGCAGGGCACCTGTGATGTAGTCCTCAGGACTGATAGTGTGCTTCCGGTTCCCTAGGACCAGCTGTGTGTCGTAAGCCAGGAACTACAGGGACAAGAGGACCAAAAATGAGCACCCAAGGGCTCAGTGGCCCCAGAATTGTGCTGGAGCCCATGTGCTGTGCAGTGTGGTTAGGGGACTCATTAACAACATAACACATGGGCTCTTCCTGCAGACATCACTGAGGCTGACACACTGTCACCTCTAAAAGGCCTGCTGAGCCTTCTAATAGCTGGCACTGTGAATGAGACAAGGAATGCCCAGTGAATCACTGGAACCTACTGATGGGAGAGGAAACAGTCTATGCCCCCTTCTCAAGTCCCAAGCCACCTAAAATTCGCCACCCCTCCACTCCCCTTCCTAGAGCCAGGTGGGGACTTACCAGAGTAAAACAAATAGCCCCAATAGCAGCATAGACCATGTGAAGCCAGTAAATCTGAGAGAGAGGGGGACAGAGGATGGCATTAGAAATCTGAGCAAGGCACCTCTCAGGCAAGCCCTAAGACCCAGCTAACCCTGGGATTTGGGTGATCCAGAAAGCCATCCGTCAGATCCTGATCATACCGTGCCTTTCTAGAGCCTGGAAGGAATTAAGCATGGTAATGTACTTGGCAGAGAAAGCAGAGGCCACCTTACAGTGGCACATAACACGAGCCATGGCACCTTTTTGCCAAACCAATTTCCAGAGCTAGTCAAGGTATATAGGTGTCCACCGTGCTTCTGAAAAAAAGGTGGCAGTTGAGTGATAGCTCCAGAGAGCAGACCCAGCATGCACTGGCTGAAGGGCACCATGGACTTTCCCTGGGTCAAGGCGGGCACTCAGGAGAGTGTGTGCAGCCCCATTCTGGGCTCCTGCAGCCCTCCTAGAAGTGGTGGACTGAAGAAGAGCAGCCAGGGAAGCACTGCGGCTACCCCGATGAGCCTCCAAGCTGGGGACAGCCCTACCGACTCTCCTCCAGGTGCCTGTTTACGGGAGGGCAGGGCCAGCCCACGGTCAGGTGGGCCCGCCGTCTTTCCCCCAGCACTACTACCCTCCCTGGCCTGGGAGCCCATGTTCTCCCTCAGTTGCTGGAATCAAAGACAGAATCAATTCCAGTGACCCCCAAAGTCCCTTCTACCCAGGCCCATCTTCTCTGACCAGGATCCTCTCCCAGAACCTGGTCTTAACTGTCAGACCTAATCAACTACTTCCCATAGGAACTTAGCGACACTGTCCAGGTGTCACGGCCCCTAGTGCCATTTGTCTCAAGAGAGCGATTGTACCCTAATCCAACAAGATAGCACTTCCTTGCTGGTACCTTTGCTAACTAGTCGGGAGGTTCCAGAGGTCAGACCCTGCCCAGAGGCCTTAGGGCCCACAAGGGGCCCCGCTCTACAGGAAGTCTGCAGTAAGCACTGGCTTCACCAACCCGTGACAGGTCACTCACGTATTTGAAGTACAGCACAATGCTAGTGACAATCCCAGTCACCATCAGCACAATTCCCAGGACACAGAAGAGGCCTGCACAGGAAGTGAAGTCCACCTGCCAGGGAGGGAGTAGAGGTACCTGTCAGATGCCTGTCACAACCAGCAGCCCAGCCGGACTAGCCCTGCCCCTCTGCTAGGGAGCCCTGCTGCTGCCTCCTATGGGCAGGGGAGTGGCCACCACATGCCAAGGACAGACAAGAAGCATACTGTAGGTGCAGATATGAGTGGAAAGGGACTAGGTCTCTGAGGAAAATACATCCCTGGCTACAGGGCTCTAGGCCCTCCCAGGTCTGCTCACGTGCCACACCCAAAGGGCCAGCGAGGAAAGGGCTTGGGAAGGGCCCTCCACGCCCTCACCTTGGTCTGAAAGCAGAAGATGGTGACAGAAATGGACACCACAGCAGTGATAATCATTGCGATGATGACGGCTTTGGTTTGGTACATACTGGAAGGAGCAAGGAGTTAAGAGAAACCAGAGGTATAAGACACCTAAAAATGACTTCAAACTCACTGCCTCCAGATGAATCCCGCCCAGAATCCACCTATGCGAATGACTGGCAGCCAGGCACACCCAGTGCCCATAATAACACTTCCCGAGAATGTGGTGGATCGTCCTTGGACCTACCTGGAGATGGTGCCCGTCATGAAGCCCATGGCCAGGGTCTAGGAAGAAGAGAAACAAGAGGAAAACACTCACAACCAGCATGGGCTGAAGGGTGGTGCAGCGAGAGAGCACTTGCCCAGCACATGCCCGGAGCTAAGCTCAGTTCTCAGCACCACAAAAAAGAAGAGAAAAGAAATGGAGAGGGAAGGAAGAAAGGAATGGCTGGCCCTCTGGGGACAGCCACAGTGTCCTGCCACAGCTGAAGACAGATGAGACTGCACTGGAAAGAGGCGCCCACAGAAAAGACCAAGAGCAGGAGTCAGGAAGAAGTGGGGAGACACCCAGGGGCATTCTTCCTCAATGGTGCGCCCAGCCGTCCCCTAGGACAGCCCTCCCACTCCCCTTCTGCACTTACAAAGATGCTCAGCAGGATGATGTTCCATGGGAACCGGCGTCTGAGGAGACAGAAACCTCGTTAGAGTCTTGGGCGGCCGAGGAGGTGCCTGGCCCCTGAGCCTCAGGAGTAGTGCCTTCAGGGAGGGGATGCCGACACGGCATGTGGTATCTGCTCACATGTTTACACAGGGACAGTGTGGAGCAAGGGGGCAGACCTGTGTGCTGTGGGGTAAAGACCAGACTTGTTCACAGCTCTTACAGCTCCTGCATACCTGTGTTACTGAGAAAGTTGTCCAGGGTCTCTGAGCCTCGAGTTCTTCCCATTTGGTTTTTCCTTCTGCCCCATCCTTGGTTTTCTTTCCCGCCCACCCTCACACCTGTCTTTTTTCACTCCTATTTGTTACATGGTTAAAATGCTACATATCTTGCAGGCTTGCTGTGAGAATGATAGCTAGATAGATCCTACGCACCACACACTGTACTTTGTATACACTAGAACGGCAGCCACCGTCATCACTGTCATCATCATCACCACCAGTATACTTTTACTGTTGTTTTAGGTCAGGGTCTGGCTGTGTGGTTCAAACTGATCCTGAACTCACTTTGTAGCCCAAGCTGGCCTTGAACTTGCAGCAATCCTCCTGTCTCAGCCTCCTAAGTGCTGGGATTACAGGTGTGTGCCACTGCCCCTGGCCTGTTACCATTTTTAAAACAGGGTCTTGCTTAGTAGTCCAGGATGGCCTTGAGCCACTAATATAGCCCAGGCTGGTCTGAAACATGCAATCCTCCTACCTCAGCCTACCACCAGTATTTCTCATCAGTCTCCATTTAACTGCTATAAAGAATCTCTTTTCTTACCAACATACTTGGCCCCTGTCCCACGCAATGCCCTCCTCATTGTCTAAGCTCCTGGGACTCACCTGGGTCCCTGGCAGCAGGCAAGGATCAGGTAGGTGACGATGAAGACAACACTGGGGAGAAAGAGATGGGACGTAGTCTGTGGGCCCACAGCTGCCCTCAGCCCCTGCCCGGCCCAGCCAGGCAGCACTCACCAGACCTGGGGAGGCCCAGACAGCTGCCTGGCAGTCTAGGCAGGCTACTCAGTGGGAAACAGAGACATGATTACCCCCAGCCAGTGGCACTGAGAAGCTCAGCAACATAGGGCTGAGGCCTGGAAGGAGCGCGTGACCCCACTGCCCCCTCCCCGGGTGTCCTGTGGTTCTGTTACCCCCTGGGCACGTGCCACCACACCCCTCTGCCTGGGAGACTAGTACTGGCCCCAGGGAGGACCCCTTTTGAAAGCATTTTGATCCCCACCCTGAGCACAGCTGGTCAAGTGGAACCTGAACGTGCCGGCTCCCCCTCCCCTTCTCACCCAAGCAGAGAGGGCCACACACTCACTAGGACACGTAGTACACGGCCACGTTTCTCCTCACAAATTGCCCGACAGGCTCCCTGTGGAGTAGAAAGCATGAGGGAAGTCACACCGGGCTAGTCGGCCTCCCTGCCACAGCCCCCCGAGCCCATGACCCAGGCCGAGACTCACACGAAGGTGAAGATGGTGATGATGGCCACTGTGACGAGCAGCTGGACAGAGATGATGCTATAAACCTGGAACCCAGATGGCCGGGCAGGGGTCACCACCCACATGCTGGCTTCTCCTCAGAAGCAGCAGCCAGCCCCAGGCCCAAGGAGCCCGGAGCCCCCACGGGACCTTCTCTGCCTGTCCTTTCAGTGCTAGAAGCGGGTGTTTTTCATGTCGAAGGCTGTACTCCGAGCCCTCAGAGCCCCTGCCACTGCAGCCTGGCCAGGGGACCCCTGGGGGAAGGGCCTGGCCCACAGGCTATGTGCACGTCTTCCTCTGGGCCCCTCTATCTGCTCCTTGGCATCTCCCCTCCTATCCAACATTCACCTCAGTTTACTGCCCCTGCACTGCCAGCTAGGCTTCGCCCTTGCAGCAGTTGAAAGTTACGCATTGTGCATCTGTCTGCACCGAGCAGGGAGCTGCACAGATGGAGGCAGGGTGGGTTAGGCACAAGTACGACCATCTCAGCTTCCCGTTGCCTGGCTCCAACAGGACAGGGGCCCCTGGGGAAGGCAGAACCCTTGGGCAGAGCGCAGGCAGATTTCCCCCAGACTGACTCTGCCCTCCCAAAACAAGGTCAAGGATGAAAGGGATGCAGGGCTGTGCCTGGAGCTGCCCTCCCCATTCCCACAGCCTGAGGGCCCAGGCCCAACATCCCCGAGCCTCCCAGCCTCCCAGCACTGATCTTACCTTTCGGATGAAGGCATGTCGGACTTTCCGGTCATCCCACTCTCCAGGCCCAAAGTTGTCACTCCCTGCTCTCTCCTCCCCATCATAGCCCTGGCCTGGGCCTAGGGACAGAGCACATAGGACCAACTGAGGACCTGGGACATGTGGTCTCCATTCCAGAGCTTCCCCAACACCAACCCAAACAAAGGCTTAGGCTGGGCAGTGGCCATGCCTGTAATCCTAACTCCTCAGGAGGCTGAAGCAGGAAGATTGCAAGTTCAGGTTCAGCATGGGCTACTTAGCAAGACCCTGTCTCAAAAATTCAAAAGGGCTGGGGCTGTAGCTGAGTGGTAGACATGAGGCCCTGGGTTCAATCTTTAGTATAAATTCATTCATTAATTAGTTAATGAATGTAAAAAAATCAAAGGTCCAGTGAAAAGACAAGTGTTACAACACAAGAACTGCTCTTCCAAGCTGGGGTCCTCCATGTGCCCTCATTAGTGAGCCAAGCCAGCATGGAATGAGGGGAATTGGATGACGGCCACTCCATCAGCTTGCATCTCTTGAGGGTTCTATGCCAGCCCACACCATCAGGGGTGGAGAGAGGTACCTCGATCAGGAGGAAGCCAGGCAAGAGTGAGGCTGGCTGGCAGAACAGCGGCCTCAGGGAGGGAAAGCCAAAGAGAAGGAGGCCAGGACTGCTCAGGGCTGAGTGCAGGCAAGGGCGGGGCATGGCCTTAGGAGAACAGATCCATCCAGGGCATGCACCACCCATGTGTGTGAAGAGTTGCACCGGTGCGCACATGCCCAGGACGGTAGGCCTCCAAACACTCCAGTGAGTGCTGTCCAGAACACCCAGGAGGGGTCAGGTGGAGCTCAGGGGGAGAGCACATGCTGGAAATATACGAAGCTCTACATCCCAGCACCCAAAAATTGAAAATCTTTCTAGGCAGAGGTTCACTGCAAGCTAACTGCAGCTGTTTCCGACCTGCTATGATGTTTACCAAAGGTGGGTCTAAATGGCTTTGAAATGTTTGCAAAAATCAGGCTTTACCTGAAGGATGAGAATTGTCAGCCCCAAAAACATTATTTTTTTAAAAAACTGCAGAGGCAATTCCTAAAGAACGCATGGCACCTGGGTGGGGTGGCAGCGGCCTTGCTGGGGAAACAAACGGTCCCTTAGGTAACTACTTACAGCTGTTACTTCACCCAGCACCCCTCCCTGGTGTGTAAGTTCCGGTATGTGTCTTACAGACTCCGTCCCTTGCTGAATAAAGGGGCTAGCAAGTGGCTGAGGTGGAGGGTGACAGGAGCTGAGGGATGGAGTAGGGAGGTAAGGAAGACAGGAGATCGAAACAGAGCAAAAGAGATGAAAGGAGACGGTGAAGAGAAAGGGAAGGAAAGGAGTTGCACTCATGACCCAAGTGCTGCTTCCTTCCACCCACCCACCCGCCATCCACCCTTCCAGACTCACCATAGTTCATGGGCATCGGGTGGATGGGGGGCATAGGCTGTGGGTAGCCAGCAGGGTGACCGTAGCCAGGCTGTGGGTAGGCAGGGTAGGCGGGGTACCCACCTGGCAGCACAGATGGCTGCCCATACCCCCCAGGGGGCGGAGGGCCAGGGTAGAGGGGGTTGCGGTCCTCATACGGAGGCGGGGCGGTGGGGTTGGACATGGCAACTCAAGGGCTGAGGGGGAACCCCAGCTGCTGGGACCTGAAAGGGACAAGAAAAGCAGTGATGAGCACCTGGCCCGGCTTCCTAAGCCCCCCTTTCACACTGCCTCTGTGTACGCAGACGGGAGAGCTTCCCCCCAAGTTTCTGTCTAGCTCACTGACCCTGCTGCCCTCACACCAGCTTTTCATTCAGGGCCCTCTCTGCCCCGGCCTTAGAAAGCAGCAGGGATTCATTAGGCACCCAGAGTCGCTGCTGAGCATCAGTGGTATGACAGACGCGGAACCGGGCAGCTCAGCAACTCCCCATGCTCATTTCCGAGAACTCCCAGTGTTGTAGCTTGACAGCAGAACCAGGAAGAAGCCCAATGGCCCTGGCACAGCCTCCTGGTGAGTGACAGTGCCAGCTGGGACCCTCTGGAGGGGTCAGACCAGCCCCCATGGAAGCTGGCTGGAGCTCCCGGCCTGAGAGCCAGGGCTGGGGCAGAGCCAAGGCTGAGAGAGGGGAGGAGGAGGAGGAAAGCAAGCGGCCCCAAGGCCAGAGCTGCGCAACAGGGGAGGAGGCGGTGGACTGGTGGCAGGCGGAGTCAGGACCTTCAGGCCACGCAGGGCAGGCCTGAGACAGGACTTTGTTTTCTTTGAGAACAGCTGGGGCGGCCCGTGTGCACTGCTCTTTTCACTGGCCTGCGGAGTGGAGAGTGAGCGCAGGGGCCCAAAGCAACTCGGAAGGGGAGACACAGCTTGGTGACTTCTGCCCAGGGACAGTGGCTAGTGGTGAGGAGAGCAAGCTGAGAGGCCCTCCAGGTAGCGGGGACCTCTAGGTCTCTCCATTTCTGAATGCCCCATTTCAGATGAGAGAACCAGGGCCCAGAACTGACACTATTCCCAGTGGCATAACCAGAATGGAGCCCTCCAGGGTCCTGGTACCTGTCCTTTATGTTACACTGTGCCTTTATGTCTCCTTTGTCAAATAAATGTCCCCCGGGCCCAGTGTTCCCTTCTGAGATGACAGAGACAAGAAGAGCCAAGGAGGAGGCCTTTGTGTAGGGCCGCACCCTACCAGAGTCAGGACCAACTCCTATCTAGATCCTCACCTGGGGGCAGACTCGAGGACCCCACAGGAAGGACACCGCAACTCAGAGGGCGGCCACTCTCACAGCCTCTGCTGGAAGGAGAGCCCCAGCTTCTCTTTGTAGGGCACCCTGCACAGGCCAGGATGGGATAAAGACTGCCTTATGTCTTCTCTCAGACAACTGAGGTAATTCAGAGGGGAAGGTGGCCTGGATCGAATAGCAGGCCAGGCCTCTGAATGGGTTAGTTGAGGAAAGCTGCTGTCCATGTCCCCAGAGTAGAAGGGACAGAATCAAGCAAGAATGTGTCAGGTCAGAAAGAAGAAAGCTCCGCCCGAAACTCAGGGCTGAGGGGCAGAGCAGGGCAGCAGGCAGCTGTGTGGAGCCAGCGCCAGGAGGGGCCACCTGGAGGACCCGGTGCCACAGCATGCAGGGACGGGCCAGGCAGGGCGCTGTGAGCGCAAGGCACGGTATTAACCACTGCTGTCAGGTGTTTGGGGAAACCCATCTTGAGAAGGCAGAATGTGAGAGCCCTTTAATAGGATAAAGGAAAGAAAGAGAAACCGGGAGTGAGACGCTCCTTCTCCCTAAGCCTGCCTTCGCCCTGCCCCTTCCAAAGCACGCTGTGACTCCACAGAAGGGAATGTTCTGTAGGGAGGAAGGGGTGCAGGACACCTGGAGTAGGCATGTTTGTCACTATGGCCCTCACCAGGCACCCTCTGATCTTCCATCTGGGTGATGGACACATGACTGACTGAACAGGCCAGGAAGGCCCTGTGATCAGAAGCCACCAAGCTATGATGTCACCCTTGCCTGATCCTTCACCTCTGAAATGAGGTGGGGCCGGCGGGTGATCTCTGAGCTCACTACCCTGCCAGCAGACTGGGATGGTCTGGCACCGGGGCTGCAAGGGCCTGCCCTTTGCCAGCAGACGGCTAGCTGCCCCGCTCCCTCCCTGTCCACCCAGGACAGACATAAACCCTTCCCAGACAAAGGGGCCACAGGGCCACAGGGTGAAGCATGATTCACAGGAAAGTCCGCCTCCGATGGGCCTTCCGAGTCAGATTCAGTTCAGTGGGCTGCTGACTCACAGAACCCTGCACTCTGTCACTCCACCGTATCAAGCTTGTGGTTTCAGAGGACTCAGACAGTAGACCTGCCTGCTAGAACACAGCAGGTTCCACTCTAGCTGTCTGGAGCCTCAGCCACCAGCCTGTCTGCACCAGAAACTACCACTGAGCACTTCGCCTCGCTATGCCTCAGTGTCTTCAGCTGAAAGATGTGTTTAACACTACCTAATAGGCCTGGAATCCCAGCACTGGGGAGGCTGAGGCAGGAGGACTGCCATGAGTTCAAGGCCAACCTGGGCTACATATTGAGTTCAAGGCCAGCCTGGACTGTACAGTAAGATCCTGTCTCAAAAAAAAAAAAAAAAAAAAAAAGGAAAGGAAGGGCTAAGGATATACCTCAGTGTGAAGATCCTGAATTCCCAGTACAGCAAATAATACAGTAATGATGATAACATAAAAAGTAAAAGAACTGGGAACCAGGCATGCTAGTGCATGCCTGTAATGGCAGCACTCTGGAAGGCTGAGGCAAGATCACAAGCTTGAGGCCAGCCTGGACATGTATCAAAACAAAAAATCTTAAAAGGCAAGGATGTAGCTCAGTGGTAGAGCCTTGTCTAGCATGTGTGAGCCCCTGGGTTCCATCTCCAGTACAACAAAGAAAGAAAAAGGGAAAAAGTAAGAGAAAATGCACACAGAGCACTTCGAATGGTGCCTGACCCCTGATAAACAGAGCCAAGTATGAACTATTTTCAGCTATTACTTCGTGAACTCCTTACAGGGTAAATGCTGTTGTTATTATCCCATTTATAAATGAAGACACTGAGGCTTAAATGAAGTCACTTGGCCAAGGCGACCTTGCTAGGGTGAGATGAAGTCAAGACTTGGACCCCCACTGATCCTGAGCCACACTCGGGAGTCCCTCCAGAGCCCCTCACGTCCACAGCCCTTATCTAAACTGCTCTTCCATCCCCCCATAGCTTCTTGCCTGAGACCTTCTCATGACAGAAGTTTGCACAGGACATGGACGCCCAAGCAGTCAGCCGCCACAGTGGCAAGAGCCCAAGCACAAGGCTGACCCAGGAACAGAGACTCAAAAGCTCAGAACCGAGGGGACGCTCCCTTAGCTCGGGAGGCACAGCCACCCTCCTCTTTCTGACCGGAAAGCCACTGTGCAAGCAGTGACCTATCCTTGTCACAGTGGCTGTGTGGCCAAGAGGTGATCCTAGCTATCTGGTGCACAGCCCTGGGGCAGGAAAATTAACTCCTGTTAGTCCAGTAATGGGTGCCTCTGCTGTACTCCCCTCCCCTGAGCCATGCCAAGGAGAACCCTGGCCAGCAGGAGCCTCAGGGACCCAGAGCCCCTGGGGTTGGCAGCCTCTGCATCTGGCCCAGCTCCCACCTGGCCTGCATGAGGGCCCTTCACATCACCTACAGATGACTTGTGGGGCCTGCCTTGGAGAGGACCTAGGCTAGGAGGCAGGAGGGAAAGGGCAGGCAGAGGGAGGATGGGGCTGAAGCCCGGGGCAGGTCCCCTGTGTTCTGCATGTAGCTGGTGGAGGACCTCGGTATCCAGGGGCTCAGTTCCTCCAAAGCCCGAATTTCCCTCAGATAAGGAGGCATTGAGCTTCTGCTGGAACAAACAACAGCGATACGAAGTCTGTCTGCCCGTCATGTCTGCAGGCAGCTTGAATCCTTAGAACATTCTTCACCCCACACCGCCTGCCATCAGCATATGCAGCATCTCAGTGTGCTCCTGTCTCTCGGGGCCCCATCCCCTCACCGGAAGGAACCAGGGCAATGGCAGCAGGAAAGTGGGCTCTGGGCCCAAACAGCAGGACTTGCCAGTGGCCGAGGCTTTCACATGCAGAGTTGGGGAAGCATCTCCCCTCTGGGATGCTCTCCCTGCCTGTGGGGTGACCCAGGCTGTGGCTCTCCCGTGGCACAAGAAGGGTTAAGACTCTGGAATCTGCTGAGGAGGCTGAGCTACTGGGGTTACAGCAAGAGGGTGTGTGTGCTGGAAGGAAGGGCAGAAAGGAGCAGCTGACGGGTCCAGGCAGCCTGCCCTCCTCCCTGCCAGGAACGAGTGCCCAGAGCAGAATGGAAAGAATAGCTCAGAGCGTGCATCTCAGGAAGCCCCACCCGCAGGCCAGCAGCAAGGCCTGGCTGAGTGTCCAGGTCTCTTTGACCAGCTCCCCACTGCCCCCAGGGAAGCACTCCCACACTGCACACAGCAGGGCAAGAGCAGGAGGTGCACCATGTCCGGGTGGTCACCAGGCCTGATCCCAGACCACGGAACCCAGAATCCACCAAGACACCCTTCGGTTGGCCTAGCTTCTGGGATTAAGAGATGAAGTCAGGGAAGTCGGGGCTGGGGATTTAGCTCAGCGGCAAAGCGCCTGCCTAACAAGCGCAAGGTCGTGAGTTTGATTCCTGGTACCGGAAGAAAAACAACAACAACAACAAAAGTCAGGGAAGTCCAAAAACTGAAATACTGGAGCTGGAAGGGACCTCATCTAGTCATCTGACAAACCAGGAAACCTCACAGCTGAGAAAGTTCCTGTCCCGCCCCACATAAGCCCTCTTGGTCATGAGTTTGGAATTTATCTACCCAGCTCTGGCCACCATCTAAGAGCTCAGGCAGATGCAAACACACACACACCCACCAGAGGAGGAGCCCTACAAGCCATCTATTCCCCCCAGTTCTTTCAAAATCTCCAGTCACATCGACAAGCCAGTGTTTCTCTGCCTCAGGGCCAAGCCACCCCTCCCAGCCCCATCTTTAGCCAGGGCAGCCTCCCTGGTATCCATGGAGACAGGGCTGGCTGCCATCTCCAGGGGAGCATGAAAGGACCCAACACCCTTGTCTCTGGGAGCAGAACTGTGTCATCAGGACTGTAACCTCAGAGACCCCAGCCACACTGGTAGTCAGGCAGTTCAAAGAGGAAGCCATCAAAAGAGCTGATGCCACCTCAGAAACAGAGCCCCTACCCACTTCCTTTGGGTTTCAACTCTCCTGTCTTCCAGTTCAGCTTCCAGTTTAGATGACAGATGGTTAACAACCCAGAACAGAAAACTGCAGGTGAGCAGAGACGGGAGGGAACCACAAGACGGGAGGAAACCACATAGAGCAATAAGCACCAGCAATACTTACTAAGCAACTAAGTCAGTAGCAAGATGCCTCCAGTTCTCACAAAAGATCTCACTCTGCCAATAGGAAAAAAGTTCAGAGGAAAACAGATCTAAGGCCCCACAGCAGGCAAACTGCAGAGGTGGGTTTGAACCCAGAGCTGATGTCTGACTTTGAAGCACAAACCCTGTACCTTTACAGCCAGTTGGAGAGAAGCCTTTGAGGCACCAAAGGCCAGGGATAAGGTAGTAAAGATCAGAAATGGCAGGGAGGAGCCGATACCTGTGTGGATACCTATCCCTTTTCCCAGTGAAAATTCATCTGATGCCTGAGCCCAGAGACAGGGACCTGAGACCCATCCTGACTTTGGAACTGACTCCAGAGTCGGGCTAGGCCACGTCATATCTCACTTTTTGCATCTCTAAGATGAGTGCCCTGAACCAAAAAATCAGAGTCCACGCCAACTCTACCAGTTCCTGACTCTGAATAAACAGACTAGCAGAACAGACAGCTTAGAGCAGAATGATGCATCCCTAAGGAGTCCACACTGGGAGCACTGCTCATGTGCCCTGGTTTGGAGCACATTTATAGGGGCAGAGTCATGTGGTTTTTCTCCGGTACCGGGAATCGAACTCACGACCTTGCACTTGCCAGGCAGGCACTGTGCTGCTGAGCTAAACCCCCAGACCCAAGGGACAGAGTCATGTGGCATGTCCTGGGTATGAGGATGGCCATATCTCTCTCTCCTCCCAAACTGCCCCCGTAATGCCCTCTGGATCCCTCAGCGAGCTCCTCCTGAGTGCTCACTCTCTCCAGAGCCTACAGAGACACTGTTGGAAAGAAAGTACTCAGTGCCAGATATGGTGGCATATGCCTGGGAGGCTGAGGCAGGAGGATCACAGGTTTTAGCCCGGCCTGGGAAACAGGGACTTAGCAAGATCCTGTCTCAAAATAAAAAATAAAAGCTGGGCATGGTGGCACATGCCTGTGATCCCAGCACTCAGGAGGCTGAGGCAGGAGGATTGACATGAGTTCAAGGCTAGCCTGAACTGCATAGAGAGACGCTGTGTCAAAAAAAAAAGTGCTAGGGTGGGTTTAATCCCAGTATCACAGGGAAAAGAAAAGGAAAAAAAAAAAAAAAAAAGCACCCAAAGCCAGAGTTAAGAGGCCTGGGATCATTAGCTAGTTGTGGGAATCCAGGCAGATGGCCTCCCTGGCCTCCTGTTCCTCTAAATCAGCCACACACAGGAAAGGAGCAGACTTATTTACAGGAACCAGAGAGAGAGTGAGGAATCACCTGGCCAGGCATCTCCCGGAAGCCCTTAGTGGCCCATGGAAACTGGAACAATCCTATCTCCTTCTTGGAAATTTACAAGGCCCAATGCCATGTTAAGCCCCTGAAAGGTCTTGCCCTGTTCAAGTCAGTTTAACCCAGCGTTCATCCAAACTTCTTCCAGGCACACCTGTTCTTAGCCTGTGGGTGCAGATCCAGGCCACCTGTTTTACAGACTCAACATTGAGAAAAATCCTAACTCATTTCTTAAAACCATGTATTTCTACCCGGTCTGCTCTTCAGAGCAGTAAGAGTAAAAACCTGGCATATGCCTTCCAGCAGAATCCGCTCCATACCAGGACCTGTCCTCCCTCACCCCCACTTCCACACAGTGGCTACTGTAACCTGACTGCCAGCAGACTGACTGCCATGGCATGGAAGTACTCTCCAGCCAGCCCAGAACCAAGAACCTGGCATCCCCTAACATCATCCCTGTGTTATGGGAAAAGTACAGACCATTATATACAGCGAGAACTATTACCCTCCTCCCCGGCCAGCGTACTGAGTCCCATCTAAGTACCAGCCATTGTGGCCAGTGGAATTCTGTTTGTTCTTGTTTTATTTTTTGTTTGAGACAGGGTCTCCCTATGCAGTTCAGGCTGACCTTGAGCTCACTTTGTAGCCCAGGCTGGCCTCGAACTCGCAATGGTCTTCCTGCCTCAGCCTCCCAAGTGCTGGGATTACAAGTGTGCGCCACCACGCCCAGCCCTGGAATTCTGTTTCATTTTTCTTTTTTTAGACTGGGTCTCACTTTGTAGTTTAGGCTGGTCTTGAACTCTCTATGTAGCCCAGGCTGGCCTCGAACTCCAGATGATCCTCCAGCCTCAGCCTCTTGAGTGCTGAGATTACAGGTATGTACCACACCAGCTAAAGAAAGCTGAAATTCTGGATATCATCTCTATTTCAAAATAAGACCCTCACTGGGTATAGTGGTACATGCCTGTAATCCCAGCACTTGGGAGACTAAGGCAGGTGGATCACCACACATGCAAGGCCAGCCAAGGCTGCAGAGTTCAAAGGCCTGAACTACATGGCAAGACCCTGTCTAAAAAAACAAACAAACAAAAAGGAGCCAGCTTTGGCCTAAAATACCAGACTCTTAGAGTTGGAAGATTCTATCAAAGTCAGCCTTTCCACAGCATTCCCAAGAGAACTGTGCAAAAGGCCTATGGCCATGGTTAGCCATGTTGTTTGCAAAACTTCTTTCCAGAGCCCCTGTGAGCTTCCACCCTCGGGCCCTCCCAGTTTGGCACTCTGAAGACACACAGTAATTGTGTCCCTTTGCTGTGACTTTCTGGCTAGAGATTCTCTGCTCTTTGTGAAAGGCCCTGGATGAGAGGTTTTGGGGCTGGAAGTGCTCTGAGGTGGCGGGCTTCTTCCTGAGGCTGCATTCCCAGGGAAGAAGCTGAGCCCAGGTGGCCATTACCCAGCTTGTGACGTAAGGTTCCCCCAGTGCAGAAGGTGTAACCCGTCATTACCTCTCTGACATACCCATTTTTACAAGTGAGGCCCTGAGGTCACGGCATAAGATGACAGGAAGTCAGGGCCTTTACCCAGTGATCCTACCACATTCTAAGCTATCAACAGAGACTCTGGGTCTTTATGACAGAGGCTCAGGGAAAACAGGCAGGTGAAGAAGTAGGGCTCCCCCTTTGCCCCAGACAGTCACCCTAGGAAGTGCCTGGCTCCCCTGCCACTACTGGCCAGGCCAGAGGCGCCAGCTTTGAAACCAAAGCTCAGCAGTGAGATGAATATTTCAGGGCCCTAGAGAACTGGACACCTGACAGACCTTCCATGACATCTGCTTGCCCCCTCCCTGGTCCCTGGCCGGCTCTCCCCACTTATCCCATGTCCGGGTTGCTCAGGCTGAACCCCAACCCTGTGGATACACCGAGAGGCCACAGTGGAGGTCAGGGCCTGGCTTTCCTCTCCTCTCTGCTCTCCCTGGCTGCTTCTCAGTCCCCCCCACTCGTTTTCCCTTTTTCCATTTCCCTGTTTTGTTTTTACTCTGGCTTAAAGAGGTCAGAAGGATGGTACTTCCTGGTGGCTCCCTGAAGCCAGCCCTGGGGGCAGGGGCTGGAAGCAGGACAGGCAGAGGGCAAAGCTCTGTATGGGACGGGGTGCCCACCTTCCCATGCCGAGGACTGGGGCCACTCACTGGTTTCCACCCCATCTCTGAGCTAAGATCCTCCCTCCCCCTACCACTCAGCCGCTCATTCACCAGTCTACACCTGCGTGGCGCCAGGGCACACGGGGCAACCAAGGCAGTCTCCTCTCCCGCTCCTCACCAGCTGAGGGCCACGACAGCCCCCGTGCCACTCAAAGCTGGCCACTCTGCAACAGACAGGCCACTCGTGCCAATAAGAGGGGGATACCCCCAGAACCTAGGCAGCTCACTGGGGCCAGTAAGGCGCTGCTCGGTTCCCGGGGCTAACCAGGTGCCACGTCCCCTCCCGAAACGCACTGGGAAAGCGAAACTCCTGCGGCCCGGGCGAAAGATCTCCATTCTGGGGCTGGCCCCGGCCGGCCGCGCGCTCAGAGAAAGTTTGGGCTTCTCAGACCAGCGCTGGCCCAGCCCTGACGCTTTCCCCACCGGCCTGCGGTCCCCACCTCCGCCAGCCCAGCCTTGAGACTTACCTACGCCGCTCGCGAGGGCGCGTCCCGGCCTCCGACTGCTGCGTGTGCTCTGGGGACCCGACCGGTTTGCTGGGTTGTGCTGGGTCTCCGCGCCCCGCCCTGTAGCTCCAGCCCCTTGGGGGTGGGGCCCTCGGGGCGCCGCTAGGTGGCGCTGGCATCCGCCCCGTATCCTGCCCCAGGACTAAGAATGCTGGTGGGGGCTTCAGATTTCCAGGAAATGATGCTTGCTGATAAAAACTTAGAAGGAGCACAAGTACCGGAAGAAAGTAGCTTCGCCCCTCCGAGCTCACAGGAGGAAACGCTTGCTTTGGGTGCTGCTTCTCCTATATATGTATTTTACTTATTTTTCTAGAATGAGCCATATTATTGCTTGATGCTAAATTTAGTGAATTGCTTTTTTTTCTAGTGCCAGGCAAGCACACTACCAGTGAACAACATCCCCAGCCTAGTTGCTTATGATTTTACATAGCATTTATCAGTACCACCCACAGGCCGGGTTCTTCAAAAGCAAAACACAACTTTAGGGCTGGGCATGTAGCTCAGTGGAAAAGCCTGTGCCTAAGTTCTGTAGGTCCTGGGTTTGATCCCTAGCACTGAAAATAAATAGATAAATAAAGCCATAATTTTTGGTGGTTTTTTGTTTTGTTTTGTTTTGTTTTTGGACTTTTTTTGAGACAGGATCTCGCTCTGCAGTTCAGACTGGCCTTGAGTTCACTTTGTAGCCCAGGCTGGTCTCAAACTCGCAACGATCCTCCTGCCTCAGCCTCCCGAGTGCTGGGATTACAGGCATGCGCCACCATGCCCGGCTAAAGTCATAATACTTAATATGCAAAGTCTTAATACTGCAAAGTATTGCCTTAAATGGCAACCCTTATTAAGTCAACTTCTTACCAGAGGACATGTGTTCCCATTTTTACATTATCATAAGTAAATCTAGGGGCTGGGGATTTAGCCCAGCGGCACAGCGTCTGCCTGGCAAGCGCAAGGTCGTGATTTCAATTCCCGGTACCGGAAAAAAAAAAAACAAAACAAAAGTAAATCTGTGATGAGCGTTCTTCACCATCCTATGGTTTTAAGCTAAATTTAGTTTTCAAATTTGAAATTTCAAATATGTAAACAGATGTGCAGTTTAGATTCCCTGCATGGAATTAGTCAAGCATTACTTAATGATGGCCACACATTCAGTGAGGAGATTTCATCACTGTGCGATCTTGGTGCTGTGTACTTACACAAACTAAGGCTGCTGGGACTCATTGGGTGATATAATCTTGTGGACCACCATCGTGTGTCTGATCTCTCTTTGACTGTTGTAGCACTGCGCTCTATTCTACCTGGAAAGCAGGTGTGAAACCCTTGTTTTTTGGTATGGGAATCGAACTCAGGACCTTGTGCTTGCTAGGCAGGCGCTTGTGCCGCTGAGCCATATCCCCAACCCTCTGAAACCTTTCATTGAGAAGTGGATTACTACTTGTTCAGACACTGAGCTGGGCAACCCCCATACCCACTCATGAAGACTGCAGTTTCTTCACACACATGAGAGAAAGGGTTCAGAGAAGTGAAACCTCCCCGGAGCTTGCCTAGGTTTGTGTGGTTCCAAAGTCCACCTTTTTCCCCTATGAGAAGGCTGCCTAGCTGAGCAGCTATGTTGAAAGTGCTTATCACATGCTAGTAGCTACAGGTCAGCACCACCCCTACATGTCTTTCACAGCCTGTTGACACTTTCCCCTTTTGAATGGACAAAGATTGACTTGCCAAAGCAAGGCTAGAAATTTAGGCACCTAGGCAGTTAAGGCTATTGGAGAGCCTCCTGACACCAAACCCCCGCTAGGCATTTCTGCTTACATTATCTCCAGTGGCCATCCTATCCCTTTAGATAGAGCAAGATTTAGGAAGGAGGGGCCTAGGGATTTATCTGGAGATTCATTGCATAGTAAGCATAACTGAAAGCAATGAACAAGTATAGTAAGCAAAATGACCACTTACATTATATAGTTCACACCAATTAAGAGATGTTTTTAGCCAGGCATGGTGGTGCACACCTGTAGTCCCAGCACTTGGGAGGCTGAGACAGGAGAATCACAAATTCAAGGTCAGCTTGGACTACAAAGCAAGACCCTATCTCAAAAAAAGAGAAAGAGAGAGATGTTTTTAAAATTTACCACACACAGGGGCTGGGGATATAGCTCAGCGGCAAAGCACCTGCCTGGCAAGTGCAAGGTCGTGAGTTCGGTTCCCGGTACCGGAGAAAAACCAAAAAAA